TTTTTCTTTCTTTGCTTTTCGACCCAGAGTGTCGCTCTGTCACCCAGGCTGGAATGCAGTGGTACAATCAATTGTACCTCAGTGCTCACTGCAGCCTTAACTTTAAGTTTGAGTGATCCTCCGCCTCAGCCCCTGAGGCAGCTAGGACTACAGACTTGCACTACCACACCTGGCTAATGTTTTTGTTTTCTTTTTTTTTTTTTTTAAATAGAGACAAGGGTCTCACTATGTGGCCCAGACTGGTCTCAAATTCCTGGCCTCAAGTAATCCCTCTGCCTCTGCCTCTGCCTCTCAAAGTTCTGATATTACAGGAATGAGCCATGACACCCAGCCTCATGAAAGATTTTTAAACTGACCTTACGAGATCTTCAATTTAGAAAGTTAACTCCAGAAAAGAGAATGATATTGAGAACTGAATAACTCAAGGCTGGGAAAAGAAATTAAAAGGCTATTGTAATAAGACATAAAAAAATGACAAGAATCTTGACTAAGGATATAGTACTGGGGATAGAAAGAGGTGGCTTTTGAGAAACAATAGAAATTGTGCTGAAGTACCATAATGACTGAGAAGATGTAGGGCTCAATAAATGAGGACATCATTGATGATTCATAAGTTTCTGGCTTAAGCACTCAGATAGATAGTGATACTACTCCCTGACACAGGGACTATGACGAACTCAGGAAGAGTTTAGTTGTTAGATGCATTGACTTTGAGGCTTCCCTGGGATTACTGAGAAAAAATGTCCAGTACCTAATTATATACACAGGTCTTGAGTTCAAGAAGGAATTTAGGGCCTGCCACAGTGGCTCATGCCTGTAATCCCAGTACCTTGTCCAAGGCAAGAGAATCTTTATTATTATTAATATTATTTTCATTTTTTCTGGGTGCATAGTAGGTATATATATTTACAGGGTACGTGAAATATTTGATATAGGCATGCAATGTGAAATAAGCACACCATGAAGAATAACTCTAACCCTTCAAGCATTTGTCCTTTGGGTCACAATCCAATTACATTCTTTATTTTTAAATATACGATTAAGTTATTATTGAGGAGGATCATTTGAGCCCAGGATTTTGAGACCAGCCTGGATAACATAGGGAGACCCTGTATCTACAAAAAAGAAACAAAATTAGCTGGGCATGGTGGCACCTACCTATGGTCCCAGCTACTTGGAGAGCTGAGATGGGAGGATCACTTGGGCCTCAGAGGTTGAGGCTGAAGTGCACGACACTGAACTCCAGCCTGACAAAGAGTCTGTCTCAAAAAAGAAAAAAAAGGAAGAGTTTAGTACCAGAGATGTAAATTTGGGAGCCATTAGCACCTTGGTAGAAGCTAAAGCCATGACTCTTAATCAGTTCATTCAACAAGCCTGTGGCTAATGAGATGAAGGTGGGAAACCAAGTCCAGGTATATGAGCCAGGCCCTAGCATTAGCTAATCTCTACGACTGTGCATTAAAAATGCACCCAGAAAAAAGGAAAGCCCTGCTCCCCCATATTCTCTAAGTGAGTTTACTACTGTTCTGCAGTCTCTGTGCATTTTTGAAGTTCATTTTGGAATTTTGTGTGCTTAGTCTTCATTTTTCAAATTTTGAAATTTCAAATTTGAAAATTCAAAATTTGAAAAATGGAAGACTCAATTTTTCAAATTTTGAATTATCCTAATGAGCTATGAGTGAGATGGGGACAGGAAGGGGACAGGCAGGTCACTGATACCAAACATGGCTGGGGACTGAAGGTTTTAGAAAAGCCTCATTTGCTCAATGGAGTGGTTTTACTGAAATAGGGCCATGGGCATAACAGATGCAATATTGACACAGCCTCAGCCCCAACCCAGAAGCTATTATTAGGCATCTTGGTACTTCCTACTTCCAAAAGTTAGTCATCACAATATATTAGTAAAATATTTTAATATTAAGAAATGAAGGAAACATGTATGGTCTGGAATGAGCATTTTAAGGTAAACGAAAAGTTCATCTCCTGCAATTCTTCAGACACCCATGTCATCACACCTTCTCTCAGTGTCTTATGAATATTAAATGCAGTCACTTACCCTGTTTTGATTAATATCAGGTCTTGGTGGGGACTGCTGATCATTATCTTCCTGATTCTCAGGACTCTGGAAACTGCTCTTTTCTCTCACCTTCCAGAATGTTCTGTTCACTGAACAAGTTACTTGACTATGCAGGCAGTATCTGTTCTGTTCAGGACTCTTTGGGTTACAAGTGACAGAAACTCAACTCCAACTAGCTGAAGTAAAAGGGGAAATGTGCTGGTTCCAAAACGCATGGCTCAGACATGTTCCCTCCTCTGTGTCTCTGCCTGTTTCTGCTCTCGGCTGTCATCTCATTTTCTGGATGGATTTTCTCCATAAAGCAGGAAGCAGCACCACAATTCACATCTCCTAAGTTTGACACCAGAGACTATCTCAGACTTCTCACCAGAGCTAAGTTCAAAACGACTCATGGAATTCTCTGATTGGCCCAGCCTAGGAAACACCTCTACCCCTCAATTCACACATTCTGTCCAGAAAAAATGGTATTTCTTTAAAAAAAAAAAAAAAAAGGTGGGGGATGCAAAATAGCAGACACCATTCTGTTGTAGCAGAAATCTCCCTCCATTATCTTGTTCCCCCACTGATCTTCCTGGGTATCTTATATATTAGGGAAGCTCTTCCTCTTTTAGACTCTATTGCCTTTTTACCCTGCTCAATTACTCCTTAAAGGTTTTGTCTGCTCTGAGCTGACACTCTTCAGTCCTCTAGACTTTAGATCAGCTTTACATGCCATTGCTTCCAGGAACCACACGTGAAGATTTGTCTTCAGCTTATCCAGCGAAACCACAGAAGAAATGGAGAAGGTCAGAGTTCCAAACAAGCAGGATCATCAAGAAGAGAGGATATTTTCTCTGCTGGGTTCATAAGATAGTTTTGCAATCCTACCAAGCAGAGAGGCCGGCAAATTCAAAGAAGACAAAACTATCTATCTTTGTGCTAATTCTGATTATAGAAAAAAAAAACCAAAAACCTATTTAGAGACATATGGCAATTTAAGAAAGCAGGAAACCAAAGAACCTGGCATTCTTGGAATAACAAATAAAAAACTCCTTAAAAGTTAACAAGGCAAAGATGAATGTGGATTCTAACACGTGAAGTTAGCAGTATTTCATGATTTGGCTCTGCTGGAAATTATTATACTAGAACAGAGCCAAAATGGAAACTTGCTTTGATCTACAGTTCCCAGTTAAAGAAATCTAAAATTAAACACAGTGTAATCTGGTTACAGAGCATTTCTAATGGACCACTGAACAGATTAGTGATTCAGTTTTGTTCTTTAAATATAAGAAGACAGACTAATGACTGGCTAGAAGACAGATTTAGAGAATATGACTATACCTGAGACCACTTACCTAAGGTTACGTTTGAATATAATTAAGTTGGAAAATGCATTATTCATTTTAGTCCACTAAATATTTGATCACCTTTTCTTATACCTTTTGAAAGAATCTGCTTCAATTATAATTTTTTATCATTTTAATTTGCTTGGTTATCTGGCCTCTATTAGAAGAAATAAAATAAGTAAAAAACTTTTTATAATTTTTCTAATATTTAATCTACCAATAAAGAAAAATTAATTCAAAAGCTAAATGTATAATATATAATGGTGATGATTCGCTTTACTCAGTTCAATCCTTTTAAATTGGAAACTGTTTAACGTTGTTTTTCAGAATAAGAAATCATATCTCACGTCTATTACCACTAGGTGGCTCAAATGGCTAAAACACCAGTTCACTATATGAGCAGATCAAAACCTTAAATATTTAAAAATTTATCTCTGTCTACAGTTCCATATACTTTAATTTTCTGCAAACTTTTATATTATTCATAGATTATCACTATAATACTACACATGGTAAACAATTATGTAGATTATCAACACATATGCCATTTTATGAATGAGAGAGGATTAATGGACGTAATTACTGAGTTATGTTACATTTTATCATAAACATGCAATGATAAATTAAAATTTTATCAGCTGATTGAGAACAAAGTATTCAATGGGGTCTAAAGAACCAGAGTCTTGGGTTATATTTCATTTTAATGTATTCAGGCATTTCTAGAGATTACCAGCTTTATTTTCTGGCAGTTGTGGTTATTTATGTGTCTTCTCTATGGCAATCTCGCCATGTGGCTCTATAGTAAGTGTCTCACAGACAGAGCTCCATCTCTCTGTGGTCCAGAGACTTTGAAAATCAAAGTAATCTTCCTTAGAGTAAGGTTTGAAATGCGGGACTCTCCAGATACTGTGTCCATCACACTAGCTGGCTGGAGGCTCTATACAAATAAAGCAGAAAATGACTGTTTTCTTCCCACAAGCATCTTATAATTCTGTTTGACTATTCAAGATAGAGCACCAAGGAGCGGAAAGAAGGAGACATCCTTTCAAGCTGGAAAGGAAAGTATTAAGCCTGCAGATTCTGTCAAAAAAGGAAAACACAATGGCGACCTTGGACTAAGAGAGGCTTGTATGTTTTCTAACCAAGGAGAATCGATACACATTCCCCTTATTCTGAAGGTATTTTTGTTGCTGTTGTTCTCTATGCTTCCTTAGTTATGTACCAACACAAGCTCTGCCCTTCTTAAAGTTGGGAACCAATGAAATAAAATATTAAAGAAAATTTCTTTCAAAGTGATAATTTTTTTTAAGAGACATGATCTCACCTTGTCACTCACACTGGAGTGCAGTGACACCATCACAGCTCACTGCAGCCTGGAACTCCTAGGCTCAAGCCATCATTCTGCTTCAGCCTCCCAAAGCTCTGGGGTTACAGATATAAGCCACCATACCTGGCCCTCAGGGTAAAGATTTTATCTTTGGTTATTTGTCTTTGTAATCCCAAACAACTGAATTTTTCACCATAAAAGTTAATTGCCTATATCCTGGGGGAGAAGAAAAATATATAGAAAAAGCTTCAGGGAGGATTTTTTCCAACTCTTATGACAGACAAGTGGCATTCTCCCCCTAATTTTCATCCTCTGTAGAGGTATTTAAAAAATATTTTCCTTGGCCATTTATTATTTGTTATTTGGAAGTACATTTAGGAATCTTGAGTCTGGCTTAAGAGAAAATTATTGATTCTCCCTCAGGGAGCTATATTTCAGTTTCAGCTGCAGTAACAGCAGGTCCTGATATTGTTATATTCATATTCAAGCATCTGACATTTGGGTTTTATTTGAATATAGAGCTGTAAATATAACATGAACCAGTTATCACATAGCTCTTGAATACTGAGATCTAATTAGTTCTTTCCAAGCATAATAACTATACTCTATCAAAGTTCTAGTTAGCTTTTGAGAAAGAAATATTATCTTCCCTTACTGTGGCCATGAATAGTTTCCACTGAGTGAGAAAAAAAAAAAAAAAAAACTCAAACGATAAAAGAGAATTAATAGCTCACATGACTGAATGCTAGAAGTAAGGTTGGTTTCAGGAATGGTTCAGTTCAATTGCTCAACAGTGTCATCAGAGACCAGGTTTACTTCCACATCTGTCTGCCCTTGGCAATGTCATCTTCAATCCCAGGAATCCTATTTTGGCTGTTCACAACTGCCTGGTCTCTGCCTCCATTCATATTTAAGGATAGAGAAAGAAGCGGGTTTCCCAGTTTTTCTAAAACAGAGGACACTTCTTTCCCAGAAATTTCTCAGCAGACATGACCTGCAGGCTCACTACCCACCCTGGATGCAATAACTCTGATCAGGGAATGGTTGTCCATCATTGGTATATGCTCCACCTGGGTACATGCCCCATCTCAGTAGCCAGAAACAGAATCAGCTGCCCCCAGCAAATGGGTTGTATAAAGGAGGTTTGGGTACCCCTGTAAGAAGGAGAGTTGCTCCTATAGGAGGGAAGGGGAGAAGATATCAGTTAGGGGGTGGGGGTGGCTACTAATACATACATACACATGACTATGGATGGGAAACACTAAAATCAAACTCCCTGATTTTGAACCCAAGTTCTACCACTTATTAGTTATATGATCAGGAGCAAGGTACTTGACCTCTCTTGTCAAGTAACAAGTGGACCACTGATTTGCTTAATTGCTTATATCATAGGGTTGGGTTTTTTTCCTCTAAAATCCACGATATTTAGTCATGCATTTATTATACTTTCTTTGTGTGAGGCACGTGAAAAGAATTGGAGAGAACACAAAAGTGAGCAAAATGATGTTCTACTTTGAAAGAGCAAGCAATTCAGGAGAGGAAATTAGAGCCCAGAGACAGTGGTGACAGACAGATGGGATAAGTAACGTAAAAAAATGTTTGCTAAAATGACATTTTTTCCTAATTAACTATTCTTTAATAGCAAGCACATCATGTAGTATTTTTTACATCCAAATGAAGTTGACAGAAACTTCTGGATAGTCATTCATTAATGATAAATGACAATAATTATTTTTTTTTTCTAAGATGGAGTCTTATTCTGTCACCCATCGCTGGTGGCGCCATCTCAGCTTATTGCAACCTCCACCTCCTGGGTTCAAGCAATTCTTCTGACTTAGTCTCCCAAGTAGCTGAGATTACAGGCATATGCCACCACATCCAGCTAATTTTTGTATTTTTTGGTAGAGATGGGGTTTCACCACATTGGCCAGGCTGGTCTTGAACTCCTGACCTTGTGATCCACCTGCCTCGACCTCCCAAAGTGCTGGGATTACAGGCATGAACCACTGTGCCAGACTGACATTAATAATTAATAATCAGAAGAACAAAACCACCAAAAAATAAATAACACAGGAATGGTAACCAATTATATTTCAACTATAAAGTGTGTAAAATATAATGTCCTCCTACATATCTATTAGAATGGCCAAATTCCAGATGTAGATCAACAGGAAACTACATCCATTACTGGTGAAGTGCAAAACAGTACAGCCACTTGGGAGGCAGTTTGGCAGTTTCTTATAAAATCAAACATACTCTTACCATGCAATCTCACTCTTTGAAATTTACCCAAAGGAGTTGAAAACATGACTCCATGAAACCTACACATGGATTTTTGTTTGTTTTTGAGACAGGGTTTTACACTGTCACTCCATCAGCCAGGCTGGAGTGCAGTGGTGCCACCATGGCTCACTGCAGCCTTGATCTCCCTGGTTCAGGTGATTCTCCCACTCAGCCTCCTGAGTGGCTGGAACTAGAGGCACGCACCACCACACCCAGTCAATTAAAAAAATAATTGTTTGTAGAGACAGGATTTGGCCAAGTGGCCTAGACTGGTATAAAACTTCTGGACTCAAGTGATCCCCTCGCCTTGGCTTCCCAAAGTGTTGGGATTACAGGCGTGAGCCACTGCACCTGGCCCACATGGATGTTTATAGCAACTTTATTCATAATTGCTAAAAAAAAACTTGGAAGCAACCGATAGATCCTTCAGTAGGTAAATGAATAAATGAACTGTGATACATTTAGACACTGGGATATTATTCAGTGCCAAAAAGAAATGAGCTATCAAGCCATGCAAATACATGAAGAAATTTTAAATGCACAGTACTAAGTGAAAGAAGCCAATCTGAAAAGCCTAAAAAACAAAAAATGTTTAGTTTTATAAGAGTATGTTTAGTTGAATATACATACTGCATGATTCCAACTATATGACATTCTGGAAAAGGCAAAACTGTGGATACAGTGAAAAAAAAAAAAACAAAAAACAGTGAATGCCAGAGGTTGGGGGCAGGGGATGATTAAGTGGAACACAGAAAATTTTTAGGGCAGTGAAATTACTCTGTATGATAGTACAATGGTGGATATACATCATTATGCATTTGTCTAAGTCCATAGACTGTACAACAAGAGTGAACCCTAATGTAAACTATGGACTTTAAATGATAATGACATGTCACTGTTGGTTCATCAAGTAACAAATATGGCGCTCTGGTGGGAGGTGTTGATAGTGGGTAGCCATGCACGTGATGGGTGGCAGAAATATATGGGATATCTCCATTTCTTCCATTCAACTGTGCTGTGAACCTCAAACTACTGTTAAAAAAAATTTCTAAAATGTGTGCGTGTGTGAGGGAGAGAGAGACAGCAAAAGTGAGAGAGCGAGAGAGAGAGATGCTATCAACTCTCTAATATTTGAAATAACATAGAGAAGCAGAGGTGAGTGCTATCCAAAAATCATTGCAATTTTCCTTGGAAGTCTTTTGTGCTTACAGTGTAGAGTATGAGAACTTGGTATTCTATGACCTGTTACCAGATCACAAAATGAACCTCACTGTGAAAATCTAGGAAGTTGTCATTTCCCAGCCCACACCCTGCATTAGCTCTTTCTCGGGTAGAAGTAGAAAGCTTTCCCTTGTTCAAAATAGAGTTCATTCTCTTGGAGTAAAAGTAGCTAAAATTTTGCTTTTCCAAGACTTACTTTTTTTTTTATTGCATTTTAGGTTTTGGGGTACATGTGAAGAACATGCAAGATTGTTGCATAGGTACACACATGGCACTGTGATTTGCTGCTTTCTTCCCCTTCACCTATATCTGGCATTTCTCCCCATGCTGTCTCCCCACCTCCCCATCCCCCCATCCCTTCCCTATTTCCCCCCAACAGACCCCAGTGTGTAGTGCTCCCCTCCCTGTGTCCACGTGTTCTCATTGTTCAACACCTGCCTATGAGAACATGCGGTGTTTGATTTTCTGCTCTTGTGTCAGTTTGCTGAGAATTATGTTTTCCAGGACTTTCAATGAGTAAACTGTATGTCAACAAAGTATAATAACTCAATAACTACCACCCTTAGAGGGCGCTATGGTGCCTTCTGTGCCACCCAAATCAACTTCTCCCTCATCACAGCAGGGCAGAACCACATAGCTTGCTGGGTCAGCTTTCTTTCCAAGTCTCAGTCCCCAGAATTTTGAACACCCTGCTTTTTACATGGTTTTCCTTACTGTTAAAAGAACATAATCACAGCAAGATAACAATTCTATAAAACCAAAAGAACCTAACCAAACTGATACTAGATAGAAGGTATGCATTGTCTTTGCTTCAAAAAAAAAAAAAAAAAAAATGACCATCACTATATGTATTTATAGCTACTGGTAACACCTTCATATTCCTTTCAAATGCAATGGTGGATTCCAAACACACTACCCCAAAGTATGGCACCTTGACATACTGAATATTTCAAGCTGAAGGAATTTGAGAGAACAGTAGAAACAGGATGTTCTCTCTGACCTTCACCTGTACTCCCCTGAAGCAGGGTGTAAGAATCTCTTGTGAAAGGTACTCACCGTAGACCCAGAAAAAAAGGAATAACCTCATCTCTGAAGACACAGGGATGCAGAAGAATTTGAACAAATAGATTTACTAGGTTCCCCCAAGTTTATTACCATTAGATCATACCCTTTTTTCCCACTCATATCTCTTTACGATTGTCCATTCTTGATCAAACCAGCTATAAAAAACCACTCAAGGTTGCCTGGGTCCAGTGGTGCACGCCTATCTATAATCTCAGCTCTTTGGAAGGCCAAGGCAGGAGGATCACTTGAGGCCAGGATTCCAAGACTAGCCTGGGCAATACTGCAAGGCCCCATCGCAAATAAAAATTTTAAAATATATATATATATATTTTTTTTTTGAGACAGAGTTTCACTCGTGATCCAGGCTGGAGTGCAATGGCGCGATCTCAGCTCACCGCAACCTCCGCCTCCTGGGTTCAGGCAATTCTCCTGCCTCAGCCTCCTGAGTAGAGTAGCTGGGATTACAGGCACGCGCCACCATGCCCAGCTAATTTTTTGTAGTTTTAGTAGAGACGGGGTTTCACCATGTTGACCAGGATGGTCTCGATCTCTTGACCTCGTGATCCACCCGCCTCGGCCTCCCAAAGTGCTGGGATTACAGGCGTGAGCCACCGCGCCCGGCCTTTAAATATTTTTTTAAAAACATTTGAGTTTAACTGTGTCTTTGGATGTTGATTTCCCTATGGAGGTTCCTGTGTCACATAAAACTTATATTAAATACATTTGTATGCTTTTCTTTTGCTAATCTGACTTTCGTTACAGGGGCCTCAGCCATGAACGTAAGATGGGTAAGAAAAAGACAGTTTTCCCCTCCTATAGCATAAATAAAATTCCCAGGTTGGGAGGGAGAGGAAATGCTATTGAGCACCCGAAGTCTTTAGAATGAAATTGTAGCAATGGAGCTAAGAGACTTTTCTGTCAGGCTGTGTGATCCTGGGGGACAGAACCTGTCTTTTCTTGTTCATGTCTGATATAGTATGGATCTGTGTCCACACCCAAATCTCATGTCAAATTGTCATTCCCAGTGCTGGAGGTGGGGCCCGGTGGGAGGTGATTGGATCCTGGGGGTGGATCTTTCATAAATAGTTTAGCACCATCCCGTTGGTGCTGTTCTTGTGCGAGACTTCTCATGAGATCTCCTTGTTTAAAGTGTGTAACACCTCGTCCCCCACTCCCTACTTCTGCTCCTACCATATGAGAGGTCTTGCTCCCCCAAACTTCTGTCATGATTGTAAGTTTCCTGAGGATCCCCCCAGGTGCCGAGCAGATGCCAGAATTATGCTTCCTGGATAGCCTGCAAAATTGTGCGCAAATTAAACTTCTTTATCGATTACCCAGTCTCAGGTATTTCCTTATAGCAATGCAAGAAAGACCTAATACCATGTCCTTGCTTCAGTGTGTGCTGCAGGTTATTACCCACATAAATCTATGCTGAGTCGATTTGATGTTTTCCAGAATTTGTAAACTATTTCCAAAATTTCCAGTTTGTAAACTAACTCATATTTGACGTAAATAAGAAAACAATGACATGAAAAATAAAAACTGTAAGACAGAGGTGGGGACTGAGAAAGGTGATAACTAAAATGTTATCTCAAGAGGAAGAAAGTGGCTGGTCAGGGCTTCCTTAGAGTGAGAAGAACAACTTGTACTGGAACCCATTTTCATCCCTAAAAGAAAAATCCACAGTACTGCAGGAATGACAGGGCTGGACAAGGCTGTTCAGATCCTCTTGAGTCAACCCTCTTATTTTACAGCTGGAAATAGAATTTCATAGCTGGAAGTAACATGCCTATGTTCTCCTAGCCAATGAGAGACGAAAGCAAGACAACGAATTCTTTTATCCTCACCTCACTGTGGGTCTCAACTGCTCCATGTGGTGGTGGTCACTTCATGGGTCCCAGCATCCGGAATAGACTTGGCTTGGCAGCAGAGAAGTTTTCTTGAAAAACCAAGTGCCACCTCAGAGTTCATGTCAAAACCACTGGATTACTTCCAGGGTGAAGGTTGCTGGGTCTGTGAGCAGCATCAGTGAGAAATAAGGAGCTGGTTGTGGTTACTGCCATTTGCATTTTGCCCAGACACATGGATATGGGAGACTTCCATCCCAGCCCAGAGCCCCTGCCAAGGACAGGCCATACAGGCACCCAGTTCCTCAAAATGCATCCAATAGGTCTTTTGATGATTCATGGCCCCAGTTTCCAAGAGATCTAGATGACTAGAAACACTTCGGTGATGTCATGCAAGTCAAATCAGGAGTTAGCACAAGGAGAGATGTTTCATGCAAATGTAAAATCCCAGAATCCCAGAGTAAGGTAGGCATGGCCATCAGGAGAAATCAGCAATCCTATCACACTGCCTAGTCAGGTGGCTTTCTCATGTGCCCCTTGAAATGTGCATGTCACATACCTACAAACACGTAAGTTGTACAGTAACTTCAACCCACAAGATGGTTATTGTTTAATAGATGCTAAAGCAAATAAATAAGTGCCTACTGTTTCCATTCATGTATTCAATCACCTATTCAACCCTGCATTAATTAGATCTTTATCAGCTGGGCACAGTGGCTCATGACTGTAATCCCAGTGCTTTGGGAGGCTGAGGCAGGAGAATCGCTTGAGGTCAGGAGTTTGAGATGAGCCTGGGCAACACGGACTTCAACTCTACAGAAAATACTTAAAAATTAACTGGGCACGGTGGTGTGCACCTGTAGTCCTAGCTACTCAGGAAGCTGAAGCAGGAGGATTGCCTGAGCTGTGGAGTGCGAGGCTGCAGTGAGCTATGCTTGCACCACTGCATTCCAGTCTGGGTGACATAGCAAGACCGTGGCTCTTAAAAAGAAAAAAGATATTTATTAAGTGACTCACATTACAAGCACTGGGCTTGAAGATGGGTGCAAAAATGAATAAGAAACAATTCTTCCCTCATGGAGTTCCAATTCCTGGCAGGGTAATAGAGAAGAGAAATTACTAGGATGCAATGAGGAAAGTGCTCTAGTGGATGGGCATGGCTGCTGGATCTAGGGAGAACAGAGGAGTGAGGGAATCCTCTCTGATGTGTGGATGTTCATTCAATTAGAGTTCTCATGCCAAAGACTCACTAGTGGCTCATTTCATAAACTTACAGCCACACAATTTTCTCTCTTCAATGGCAAAAACCTCCGACAACATTAACTCCAAATTTCCCCAGTTGGTACTTAGCACACTTGTAGAATAAAATCTTGCCTTCCCCTCCCTCATCATTCTCCCCTTTAACCTATCAAGGCCCTTAGGTTTATCTTGTTAGCTATAAGAAAATGTCCTTGCAAATTGGCAAGATTGCACATTACAGTCTGAACTAAATAGATTTGAAATACTTAAAGTTCAACTCTTCTATAATTAACAAGAGGAGCTTTTAAAAATTGTAATCTGGCTGGGCGCAGTGGCTCACGTCTGTAATCCCAGCACTTTGGGAGTCCGAGGCAAGTGGATCACGAGGTCAAGAGTTCGAGACCAGCCTGGCCAAGATGGTGAAACCCTGTCTCTACTAAAAAAAAAAAAAATTAGCAAGGTTTGGTGGCATACACCTTTAGTACCAGCTACTCAGGAGGCTGAGGCAGAAGGATTATCTGAACCCAGGAGGTGGAGGCTGCAGTGAGCCAAGATCGCACCACTGCACTCCAGCCTTGGCAACAGAGTGAGACTCCATCACAAAAAAAAAAAAAAAAAAAAAAAATGTAGTCTATATATTTTTTCATTTTTTCAAGTTAGGGAATTTTAGAACAAAGGGGGAGCTTAGAGGTATCTTGGACCAACTTCTCTGTTTTTAGACAAAGAAACTGAATCCTATACTAACTGAATGCAATAACCAAGCTCATAAAAATAGTACTAGAAGATAATTACTACCCAAATTATTGTAATCACTGACAGAAATCACAGTTACTGTCTCTTAGTCACTGAAGATTTTAGACCCAACTCACTGTCTCTCTTCAATACTATTCCTGCCATAATTCTTGGGCATTTTGATACCAAAGGTATCAAAACATAGGTGATATGAACATAGGTGGTATGTTCGATGCATTAGTTTGCCAATGTTTTACTTTTCACCAACAAGAATCTTGTACTCCATCTCCCCACAGCCACCCACCTCCATGGTCATACCCTGGTCTCTGTCATTACCAACAAATGCATCCCATTCAAATCCCCAGTTTCCAGCATCCCACTCTCCTACCATCAGCTCACACCCTCTTCCACCCTAACTATAACAGTGTTTGACCCTACTGGCTTCTTATTTTTAATTTCCATTCCCCCTGCTAACATTCTGACCACTTGGTGTAATCAGCTCAAAGTAATGCTTACGAGTAACATCATAAGCAGACACCCTCAATTTCAACTTCACACTCCTTTAGTCAGAGCTACCTGACAAAAATCCAGCCTTGGGGTCAGGTGCAGTGGCTCAGACTTAAAATTCCAGCAACTTTAAGAGGCTGAGGTGGGAGGATTGCTTAAGACCAAGAGCTCAAAATCAGCCTGGGCAATATAGCAAGACCCTGTCTCTACAAAAACAAAAACAAAACTTAGCTGGACATGGCAGTGCACAACTGTGGTCCCAGTGACTCAAAAGGCTGAGGCAGGAGGCTCGCTTGAGCCCAGGAATTTGAGGCTTCGGTGAGCTATAATTCCACCACTGACTCTAGCGTGGGCAAGAGCAAGACTCTGTCTCTAAATAAATAAATGAATAACTCCAGCCTGAGTCAAATCTGCTTTCTGTACTCACTCGTTTCCTACACCTGTGTATCTGAATATGGTTACAGAAGAGCACAATGATGCTGGCAGGTATCTCTTTAAAATCATGACCACAGCGGGGCACGGTGGCTCACAACTGTAATCCTAGCATTTTGGGAAGCCAAGGCAGGCAGATCACAATGTCAAGAGATCAAGACCATCCTGGCCAACATGGTGAAAAACATCTCTACTAAAAATACAAAAATTAGCTGGGCATGGTGATGTATGCCTGTGGTCCCAGATACTTAGGTGGCTGAGGCAGGAGAAGCACTTGAGCTTGGGGGGCAGAGATTGCAGGGAGCTGAGATCATGCCACTGCACTCCACCCTGATGACAGAACAAGTCTCCATCTCAAAAAAAAAAGAAAAGAATTATGACCACAAACAACAGGCTGACCCTAAGTAGTGTCACCCGCCATTCTTTGAGAACATTCACCAAGTCCATTCTCCTAAAGAACTATTTCACATCTTCTTTCTTCTCAAACCTCCCAAATCGTTTCCTCTCTTTAAGATTTGCTAATTGCTTCTTATTTCAATGAGAAACGAGAAAATCCCTATCAATAAATTTACTAACTTTTCGTACCTATAGCCATATACCTTGTTTTCCTTTTTATGACAATAAACCTTGTCCTTGTGCATTAGAACCCACTTCTTCTTGCCTACTCAACAATGTCAGTTCTGTAATATAACCTCTTTCTCCTGCATCAGCTTTCTCTCTCCACTGAGTCATTTCCATGAGCATTTACACATCTTAAAATATTACTATTGACCCCACACTCCCTCCCAGTAAGGCCCCATTTCTGTGTTCTTGTCAAAGTCACCTATGACTTCCCCGCTGCCCAATCCAATGAACGATTTTCATATCTCCTTTTATATATCAGCAGGATTTGACCATCCTTTTTTCTTGTCCTTTGCTTGACTGTCCTTTGCTTCTTGAAATATTTATTCTCTTAGTTTCTGGACAACACACTCCTGCTCTTCATCTCTGGCTACTCTGCCTCAGCATCTCTGATGGATGCTGTTCTTCTTGCCAATTTTTAAATATAATTCCTAGGGTTTGGGTCTCAGGCCTCTTCTCTACCTACCATTCCTTTGATAATCTTGGCCTATTGGCTTTTTGGGAGACTAGAACATGCCATCCCAAAATATGCCTCTTTTTTTTTTTCTTTTTTTTTTTTTTTGAGACAGAGTTTCACTCTTGTTACCCAGGATAGAGTGCAATGGCACGATCTCGGCTCACTGCAACGTCCGCCTCCTGGGTTCAGGAAATTCTCCTGCCTCAACCTCCTAAGTAGCTGGGATTACAGGCACGCGCCACCATGCCCAGCTAATGTTTTGTATTTTTAGTAGAGATGGGGTTTCACCATGTTGACCAGGATAGTCTCGATCTCTTGACCTTGTGATCCACCCACCTCGGCCTCCCACAGTGCTGGGATTACAGATTTGAGCCACCGCGCCCAGCCAAAATATGCCTCTCAAAGGACTGTTGAACTGAAGGCAATTAAAGAGAAGCAGTTGCAGTAAAGTGCTCTGCCCTCCTTCAATTTGCCTAAAAGCAAGACATGGATTTATAAATACTAAAGACACCCAGTCCCCACATCCCTTTCTACCAGAGAGAACAAATGCTGACCAGTGGAGACAACTTTAGACCCTTCTGGGCCTGGAGATAGTACAAGCGACATCTACATTAACAAGTTTTATTCACCAGCATTTATCTGATGGTCATTTGCCTTCTTATAAATTGCCACCCATCGAGAGTTAAAAAGTCCTTTTCCTTTGCCTCTTGTCACATCCCTAAAAATGCACTGTTCTTTGTTCAAGAGTCTATATGAAGCTCAAATTCAAAGCCACCTTTTTGAGAATTACTCATTCCTTGGGTATCTCCTGTGAATATATGAATTAAACATGTTAATAAATTTCTGTTTGTATTTCTCTTGTTAATCCACCTCTTGTTGCAAGGATCCATTCCAACTGAGAATTTATGAGCTGCTGGGAGTGTTAGTGCTGACAGCTTTTAGCTGAGTCCCTCTGCAGGAATTGCCTGTAACTAAAAAGAGCCACCTTGCCCAGTGTCTTAGCTTAACCCAGTGACTGGTCAATATGAAAACATCAATGCCTGGCCCCTTGGCAACCACTTTGATGGATGACCAAGCTTCAGAGCTTCTCCTAGTATTGCAGGATCTGTGAAGGCCCCTATTGCATCTGCATTCCATTCCCTCCACTACTGGTGATACTCAGTACATCCCTTTAAACCACCTACAGTCAAATCTTCTCAAAAAACTTAATCTGCAACATGGGGATGAGGGGAAGGTGAGGTCAATCTTGAAAATAAACAGGGAGAGAGGGTGACTGTGAGTGGCAGGATGGAGAAGAGCAAGGTCAAAGTTCTTGCCAAGAATCACATGCTCTGAGGTTCCCTTTTCACCCCAGAACACATAGAATTCTGAGGTTGTACTCATTGTAGACCTAATACTGTTAATATGTTTTAAGAAAAGAGAGGGAAAAAAGTTAGCCTTTCTGCCCCAAGATCTTGTAGAAGTTTTCATTTTTTATGGTGAATCCTTAACAAAAGCTGAACAGGCACTGTAATTATAGTTGACCCTTGAATAACTTGGGTTTGAACTGAGTAGGTCCACTTACACGTGAATTTTCTTCCTCCTCTGCCACTCCTAAGACAGCAAGACCAACACGTCCCTTTCCTTCCTCCTCTCAGCCTGCTTAACATGACGACAAGGAGGATGAAGGCTATCACAAGGATCTACTTCCACTTAATAAACAGTAAATATACTCTCTCTTTCTTATGATTTTCTGAATAACATTATCTTTTATCTAAGTTACTTTATTGTAAAAATATAGTATATAATACATGTAACATACAAAATATGTGTTAATTGGTTCTTGATGTTATTGCCAAGGCTTCCAGACAACAGTAGGCAAGTAGTAATTAAGTTTTGGAGGAGACAAAGGTTATAATGAAGACCAAAAACTATAAGAACCCTAGAATAAAGTCTTGGAAAAACCATTCTGGATATGGGCCTTGGGAAATAATTAATAACAAAGGCCTCAAAACCAATTGCAACAAAAACAATCATTGACAAGTGGGACCTAATTAAACTAAAGATCTTCTACACAACAAAAGAAACTATCAACAGAGTAAACAGACAACTCACAGAATGGGAGAAAATATTCATAAACTATGCATCTGATAAACATCTAATATCTGGAATCTATAAGGAACTTAAGCAATTCAGCAAGCAAAAAACAATTCTATTTTTTAAAAAAATGGGCAGAGGACATGAACAGACACTTCTCAAAATAAGGCATACAAATGGCCAATAAACATGAAAAAATGTGTATCATCCCTAATCATCAGAACCATGCAAATTAAAACCACAGTGAGATACCATCTCATACCAGAATGGCTATTACTAAAAGTCAAAATACAACAGATATTTGATGAGGCTGTGAAGAAAAGGGAATGCTTATAGACTATTGGTGGGAATGAACATTAGTTCAGCAACTCAACAATGTCAGTTGGAAAGCAGTTGAGAGATTTTTCAAAGAACTTAGAACTACCATTTCATGCAGTAATTCCCTTACTGGGTATACATCCAAAAGAAAATAAATCATTCTACCAAAAAGATACACACTTGCTTATTCATCACAGCACTATTCACAATAGCAAAAAAACTGAATAAACCCAGGTGTCCATCAACAGTGGACTAGATAAAGTACAGTACATATACACCATAGAATTCTATGCAGCTACAAAAAAGAATGAAATTATGTCCATTGCAGCAACACAGATGCAGCTGGAGGCTATTATCCTAAACAAATTAACACAGGGACAGAAAACCAAATACCACATGTTCTCACTTATAAGTGAGAGCTAAGCATCGGGTACTTATGGACATAAGGACAGCAACAATAGACACTGGAGCTCACTAGACATGGGAAGGAAGGAAGATGGCAAGGATTGAAAATCTGTGGGTTGGTCAGGCATGGTGGCTCCTGCTTGTAATCCCAGCACTTTGGGAGACCAAGGCAGGCAGATTGCTTGTGCTCAGGAGTTCAAAACCAGCCTAGGTTACACAGCGAAACCCTGTCTCTAAAAAAATACAAAAATTACGCGTGTGGTGGTATACACCTGTGGTCCCAGCTGCCCAGGAGCTGAGACAGGAGACTTACTTGAACCTGCAGTTGAGGCTGCAGTGAGCCAAGATCATGTCACTGTACTCCAGCCTGGGCAACAGAGTGAGATCCTGTCTCAAAAAAAAAGAAAAGAAAAGGAAAAGAAAAAAATAAATGAAAAAGCATAAATAAATAAAAAAAGGAAGGAAGAAAGAAAGGGAGGGAGGGAGGACAAGGGAAGAAGGGAGAAAGGGAGGGAAAAACTGTTGAGTACTATTCTTAGGTCCTGGGCGACAGGATCATTCATACTCCAAACATCAGCATCACACAATATACCCAGGTAACAAATTTGCACTTCTACCCCGTATTGAAAATAAAAAATGGACAAAGAAAAAAAAGGATATACATGGACTTTTCACCGTGCAGGTAGTTAGCATCCCAAACCCCAATTTGTTCAAAGATCAACTGTATATTATTGTCAAAGTCTTCTCCAGATTTTCCTAGCAAGGACCTCCCTACCAGATGTTACAAGAAAAACCTGGGACTATACCATTCCCCTCCCCAAAACTGGGAAGGAACAGAGAGATTTAAAAAATGACTTCAACAAGTCCAATTTGGTGAGTAGATGAGTTTATTAGGACTTACATACAGAGCACTCCTAGATGACAGCAGGATAGCTCTAGAGATGTGCACTGCCTCACATCTCTCAACTGCTTTTTTTTTTTTTTTTTTTGAGAGAGAGCATGTCGCTCTATCTCCAGGCTGGAGTGCAGTGGTGCGATCTCCGCTCACTGCAATCTCTGCCTCCTGGCTTCAGGCAATTCTCCTGCCTCAGCCTCCTGAGTAGCCATACCCAGCTAATTTTTGTATTTTTTTAGTAGAGATGGGGTTTCACCATGTTGGCCAGGAAGGTCTTGATCTCTTAACCTGGTGATCTGCCCGCCTCAGACTCCCAAGTGCTTGGATTACAGGCATGAGCCACCACACCCAGCCTCAACTGCTTTTAAGATAATTTTTTGGCTGTATGCCCACTGTGTTTCAGTGATGTGACTGTTTTTCTTGGTGGGTTCTCAGATACCCTCAGTTTGGGTCTCAGCTACACCTGCTTCTCAGCTGGGCAGCATGGCCTTAGCTCACCATTTGGCCTTCAAGATTCAAGCAGCCAATATAAGTCTTTAAGTAACCTGGTGGGGAACCTAGCATGCTAAACCAGAAGTCCCTGCAGGAGAAATACACTTCTTTTCCCAGGTTTGGCCTTGTGACTTTCTTGCCCAATGAAACATGAGTGAAAGTGACATGTGTCACTTAAGAAAAGTTTTAAGGGCTACTGTGGTTCTCTTTTAAACACTTTACTAAATTGGTAATATTCCAGATAGGGGCTGCTCCTTTAGCCTGCATTCTGGAGTGACATATTGAAACTGATTCTCAAAGACCATGTCATGTGAATGAGAAATAACCCTTTATTCTAAGCCACTGAGTTTTGCAATTATTGGCTGCATCAGTATACTTTAGCCTCAGCATATGATACAGTCACCTAGAGCAGAGGTCAGCAAATTCTGGAAAGGGCCAGACAGTAAACATTTAAAGATCTGCAGGCCATACGGGTCTGTCACAACTACTCGACTCTGCCACTGAAGTGCAAAAGCACTGGGAGATAATATGTAGAGGAGTAGGCATGGCTGTGTTTCAATAAAACTTTATTTGCAACAACAAGCAGCAGACTAGTTTCGAACCGCAGGCTGTAGTTAGCCAGTCCCTGATGCGGATACTGGCTGCTTGCTAAAAACTCTGCAGGCAAATCCCTAAATCCATATCTTTACTAATATTACCCACCTAGTATTATTTCTCTAAGTTTTGTATTAAAGATGACAGAGAATGAACTGCGTTATATAAGTTTGTAGAGCCTATTTATTTAAGTAAGGCTTAAATGGACAAAAAAAGCACAGGATGGCAGATTTTATATTTCTTGATGGAAAGAAGAAAAAAAACTAGAAATGATATCTCCAGTTGCACACTCTTCAAAATCAATTGAGAAGACATGGGGGAAGAGAATCAGGGAGAAAAGACAAAAGGCTCAATTAGAAAGGGGTAAAAAGAAGAGAAATGGAAACGTGAAGAGAAATAATCCATCTGTGAGAGAAAATTGAATGAAGCTGGAATTCCTGTATCTGGCTGTTATCAGCACCAAGGCCAGATAGCATGCTTGTTCCTCTACTGCCACCCTCAGTTCTCTCAGGATCCTGGCTCTATTGTTGGCAATTTGCACTGATGGTTTAAATGACCCAGGTTGCAACTCCAAGGAGTACTTTTGCCATTTTTTATTTTACCTACAACTTGCTGAAATCCATGGAGGTTCAAGAATGATAGGACTTGAATAAATGATTTCGAATGGTGGAGGGAGAGGACAAATTAAAGATTAAGAATTAACTGGGGCCAAGGTTAGTGTTGGGAGTGAGGAGACACAGAGCAGAAGTGGGGATTCCGGGAACAAGGAGTTTGGAGACCATCTGTTTGTGTCAGCTATGAAGTTGAGTTTGCATGTAGTTGTACAATTTCACAAAAGCAGTAAAGTCAATCAATAGATATTAATTATGACTGGGATCTGGAGGTGTACGATGCAAGCAAAATTACAGAACAAACAGCTCTGGGAGACCTGGGCCTGGCTGTGGACTCCTGCATTTTATCACACTTTGTCTTGGAACCAGGGGTAATAAGATCACAGAAATATAATTTTTTCACCTATTAGTGAAATC